TTCATTTCATTAGAAATAATCTGAACACTACAACCTTAACAAAATAAATTGACTAACTTTATTATATGGCTGTGAACAATTTTTAGATTCAATTAAAATACATGTCTTCTATGTATGACTCTTCATACAAATATTTTTTAATATCTCAGTAGAATCATGGTATCTTAATAACTAGATAATGGATGCTTACTTAAAACAAACTCTTCATCTTATTATCAAAATGTACTTTCATTACAAATTTAATGAAATTAAGCATAAGAATATATTTGCTTTCCAAGGCACCATATTATTAAAATTCCTAACAACATTCTATCTTGCCACATCTGTTTTGCTACACTACTTTGACTTGTGATGCAATTTTCTCCTTCTTTCAAGCTGAACTGGGCAAAATGGTAAACATGAAAGTTATAGCTCCATCTCTTATCTTTCGAATGGCTCAAGAAGTACATCAATTGGGGTTCTAGAATGACATCTTTTCAATTGAAGCCCTTTCAATTGCACACTTATAAAAGAACCAAACTAAAATAAATAATAAGTAAACTTAAAACAACCTCAATTAAATGAACCCAACATGATTTACTACACTGACTCAAAATAAATCAAAATATCTAATTTTGAAATTAAATTTCAAGAATTTAACCCATTCAATCTTAAAAATGTGACAAAATAACTTTACGAAATAGAGTTGTTAGAGGCACATATGGTTTTACTTATAGTGGTGTGGATACTTCTTCCTCTTGCTTTACTCCATCAACTTGAACTTGCTTGCAATAGGCATCCTCATGATCAACTCTATCTCCACCATCTACCTTGTTCTTGCTTTTCACCTCACCAAGCTTCTTACCATTCCTTAAAGTAATTGCCTTACATTGCTCCATTACTTCTCTTGTGGGATTGGTTTCAATGTCACTCGATAAAGTTCCCTGAGGTTAGTTGTTGATGGCTTTGGCAAGCTAACCCATTTGTGTCTCAAGATTTTAGAGTGATATAGCTTGACTTTAAATGGTGGCATCATTCTTTGCCATGTATTGTATGAACATCTTTTCCATAAATGTCTTCTTATCAAGCACAGGAGCTCTAACTTGTTTTGAAAATCCATGAGGAAAAATTAACTTTAATAAAGGTGAAGATCCTTGATTGTTGCTCCATGAAAAGTTAAGGTGATTTCTCTAACCAAGCTTAAAGCTGTTGGAATAAGTATTATTCTTCTGCCTATAATAATTTCCAGCATACTGCACTGATTCAGTGTTGGTAGAACATAGATCATTGGCATGCCCTTTTCCACATAATTTACATGTCACAAAAAGGCTCTGAACGGAATGAATACCTAAATTTCAAATTTCTTAGACAAAGTAGCTACTTGTGTAGTTAAAATCGTACTTGTATCCAGGTCATGAACACTTACAACCTTTTTTGGTACCAATCTCTCCGATGGCCATTGATAATTATTAAAAACCATTTCCTCTAACAAATCATATGCCTCATCAAAAGATTTTTCCATTAATGCTCATCTTGTTGCAACATCAATAATGGTTTTAATTGGGCCTAACAACCCATTGTAGAAAGTTTATACCTACAGCTACTTCAACAACCCATGGTAAGGACATCTTCTAAGCAAATCCTTGTATCTCTTCGAAGCTTCATACAACAATTTTGAGTCAAATTGCATAAAAGATGTGATATCATTATGAATCTTTACTGTCTTAACTAGTGGAAAAAACTTAGCTAAAAATTTCTAGGCCAAATCATCTGAAGTAGAGATAAAACCAATTAGAAAAGAATTAAACCAATTATTTTGCCTTGTCTCACATGAAAAAGGAATGAGTCTTAATCTAATAGCATCATCTAAGACCCCATTGTGCTTAAAAGGATCATAAATTTTTAAAAAATTCATAATATGAGCTTTCGGATCATCATTAGGTAATCTGCCAAATTACATTAAAGTCTGAATCATCTGAATGATAGTGCACTTGATCTCCAAGTTATTAGCTTGAATAGTAAGTCTTCAGATGCTAGAGTGAAAGCCTTATGCAAGAAGAACAACATAATCTCTTTTTTTTTTTAGCCATTGTCTAGTTATGAGTTGAAGCTTGTAAATTCTCCCTCTAAAGTCTTTGAAAAGTTTTCTCAGTTCTCGGATCAAAAAGAAAAATTTCCAAATTTCTAACTCTTCGCATACAATGACTAAGAGTAGCTGAAAATAAAGAAAAAGAAAGTTTGAATTATGAATAAAATTGCTTGGTATTAATATTAACAAAAATTAGTAAAACAATCCTCGAGAACATTGCCAAACACTTGTTGTTGAATTTATCACGCAAGTGCAGTATTGCTAACATGTAATTTAATGAAGTGTAAAGTATCGTTCCTATAAGGATTTTTTATAAAAATTTTGCTAAATACTAAAATTAACACAATTTAACCTTATCCAAACGCACAACTTAAATTTAAGGAATAATATAAAGAAACTAAACTAGAAAAAAGAATAACAATTAAAACTTGCTTCTTTATATGATTGATTTTTCCTTTTTGCATTTTTTTGAAACACCATTTCAACATTTTTATCATATTTCCTTTCCATTCTTCTCACACTTTGCTTTCTCCCATACTCTACCTCCGTCGCTAGTAAACTTTTGCCATCAACCTATCGCCTATACCCTTTTTGGATAGCTTCTTCTAATTCCTCTCGATTTTGGTAGCTCACAAAAGCAAAACTTAATATCCTTTCTCTTATCAACCATTCTAAGCCTAGGTATGAATACATCCAACATCCTACCATAGCCTTCAAAGATTGACTTTAAAACCGACCATGGCACCTTTCCACTGATATTGTCCACAAATATTAGTACGGTTGTTCCGCCTTTCTCTAGGTCTACTACCTCTTCTTTCAACCCTTCCTCACCAAAATCCCTAGTCACTCTCACATTCTCCTTCCCTTTCTCTCTCTAGTTTTCTTTTCCATCTTTTTCCATGAATCATAGGTGAGACATGACCTTTCTTTTTTAATATATATTATAACTTATAAATTTTAAAATTTGTAGGCATGAATTCTAGTTCATTCAAGATATTATTAAACTTTATCATTTATCATTCATATCCATTATCTTAAGAATGCCCCATTGCCTTATGAGTTCACTTCCTAAGCTAAGCATTTTACAAAGTCATCTCGGTTGATTACTAACCTAATTCACAACCAAATTTTTTTTATAAGTGTGGTGACATTGGCATCAACCAAAATATAATTATGTTTTTCAAAAGCATTTTCAATAAAAGAATGAATGGAAGTACATACCCGATCCATGGTAAATCAACCACTCACCATAATTTCAAGAAAAGCCTCTTAGACAACACTCATAAAAAATGTGTAAATCAAACCTTCAAGTTGATCTTTTGTTCTTTGACTCAATCGAGCTATCCAACCAAAAGGTTGTAAAGAATCTCCAACTTTTCTTCATCTTTTGGGTGTGCTTCTTCTTCTGCAAACTCATTTCTTTTCTTTGGTGCCATAATTTCCCAAGATGTCTCATTAGGTGTGCCAATGCCGCTGAGATGAATGTTGTGAATAAAATAGCAATCTGACTTTAATCAAACAATCAAAGGTTCTCACCCCGTTAGTTACAATAGGGATAGAGATAGGGAGGAAAAACTTTTTAGGCTGAAATTAAAAATGTTGAAAAAATAAACAACTACTTAGAGAATTAAGCAATGCTTTAAACTATAGTGAGTGTCGAGAAGTAAAAGAATACAAGGAAATTAAAAATAAACTGATTTCGTTTTGGTGTGGACCTTTTTTACTTTTTCGTTTAAGTTGATGACTTCTTTCAAACCTGCCACTTAAACCTCTGTAATTGCAAGATTACTGAAAATTGTATCTTTCCTACAACTTCCTTGCATAACTGCGGTACCTAAGTTTGAAACTTCATCAGCATATGTAACTGCCAACATTGATTCTAAAACTGATCTATTACATACTTAAAAAGAAATCTCTTTGGGGCTTCCTCATTTTGCCACATCTCAACTTAGAAATTGGCCATGTTTCAAGTTGGCTTCTCCATGTTTTGACAGGTGAAGTCTTGAAGAGGGAGTTAGGGATTAGATTGGGGGCTAACATGTGATGGGTTAGGGTTAGAGGGGTTTTATAGTTGAAGTGTAGAGGCTAGAAAGAGTAGGGATAAAGTGGAAAGAAAAAGAAGAATAAGAAAAAAAAATTGGGTGTAAAATTTAGATTTGATAAAAAAAGAATGGGTAAAGAAAAGGGTAAAACAAAGGGGTGAAGATCAATACGTATATGAGAGAAAGACAAGTCTTGGTTGAGAAGGAGATATGAGAGGAAAAAATAGAAAAAAAAAACAAAAGGAAAAATTGGGAAAAAAGAATGGGTGGTTTTTTTAATTTAATTTTTAATTGAGAAAATATGGAGATTCAATTATTTGTAGTTTTTCTCTCTTTTTTCTGTTATTATTTTTTTAATGTTTAATTTTTTTACTGATTACATTTATAATTTTATTTTTTTACAACTTTTTTTATTCCAATGTAAAAAAATAACAAAAAAACTTAACAATGCATTATATAGACCTGTTACTGATAGTATTGCCTATACATGATAGCATTGTGAAAGATCAAATAAGTTCAAGCTTGATAAATAAGTTCATTTTAAATAAATTTAATACGTCATCACAATATCTTTTAACTTTTAAAAATTTATCTTTACACATTACAATGTAATTTGTAAATGATATTTTAGTTATTTTTATTTTTAATAATTATTTTTATTAATATAAATTAATTTCATACTTTAGACATATAAAAAAAAATTATACCCAATGCACAGCATAGGCTATACTCTAGTGGACTTAAAGTGCAGCCTTACGTTCAACTATGAACAAACCCATAAATCCAAGCTTTTGTTATTGGGCCCCCGTGACACTACACAGGTGAAGCCTCCCAACTGGGCCTATATTTCGACACCTGTGGCGCACCCCTAACTAAACTGGAGGAGAACATTGGATTTGTGTTTGTCCCACCAAGACTGCTAGTGTTATGAGTACATGGAATCTCTAACTGTGAAATGGAAACACTCTCTAGTCTACCTCACCTTCATCTACGCCATCCTCTACCTTCTCCACACCAATTTGCGCCTCGACAACCGCCCTATTCGCCTCAAGAAATGGCCCCATCTTCCTCTCAGGTTCCGCCACGACGGCACTTTCAAGATCCTTCAGGTCGCTGATATGCATTTCGGAACCGGAATCCTCACTAGCTGCAGAGACGTGCTGCCCTCTGAGTTCCCTTACTGTTCCGATCTTAACACCACCCGATTTCTTTAGGCCTTGATTCAACTTGAAAACCAGATTTCATCGCATTTACCGGTATCTTTTTATTTATTCAATGCCTTACTTTGTTTTCGGTTGACTTTGTAATTCTTTAGCAAAAAGCTTCTTGTTAGTACTATTAATTATTCAAACCCAGACTTACGTGAAAAGGAAGAAGAAAAGATTGATCCTTGAGTGATAGATTATGGTTCATTGCTGCCTAAAAGTTTGGAATTGCAATTTAATTTCCCAGACAAGTCAGTTTGTTTTACAAAATTAGAGTCTAACAACTCCAATGACGTAATCTTAATCTGGGATCCTACAATCCACTGTCTTTACTTGATAGATGGAACTTGTTCTATGGTGAAACTGAAAATTGGCAGTGTCCACCATTGGCGTTAATGGCATGCTGATGAGCAGAGGTAAGTTCTAAAACATCGGTTTTCAGTACCAGGAATGTGTTTGAGACATGAGCTTTTTACACGGAGCGTTTGACTTGATATGGGGATCTGCAAGGGTAGCACACTGTTGATTCTACGGTTTGAAGGTTGTTCATTGTTACGTCTGTGGCTTTGTTAATTCAGTGGTGTATCAAGTTATGCAGAAGCTTACTGGTTTGAAATGAGTAGGATGTCTTCATAATTATTATGTCTGAAATGGAAGTTAAAAGTAAAGTAATAACCATGATGCTTGTGTCATATGTGTTTTTAGTACTTGGGAGAAACCAAAATCTGATGAAAGTGAAGATTATTTGTTGAGGAACATATTCTTACCTATTTTTCTTCAAATAGGTAAGATCACTGACCACCTGGTCACATACTTCAAACAATTTAAGTTGCTTCCTCATACTCATTGAATCTTTGGTTATTTAAACATGCTCATTGTACCAAGCGGCCTTAGTTGATGCTAAAACAATTCGTGCACTTTATGACTCTCTATCACTCATGTCACTCTCTGAGAGTCTACTTTGGATTCTTTAAACCAGGAGACAACATATTTGGTCCAAGCACTACTGATGCTGCTGAATCTCTGCTAGGAGCCTTTGGTCCGGTCATGGAATCTGGACTTCCATGGGCAGCTGTCTTAGGAAACCATGACCAAGAATCTACAATGACTCGTGAAGAACTGATGTCTTTCATCTCTCTATTGGATTATTCAGTCTCACAAACCAATCCACCTTCTATAGATATTGATGGCTTTGGAAATTATAACCTCAGTGTCTATGGTGCTCCAGGTTCCCATTTGGCAAACAGTAGCATCCTCAACCTCTTCTTTCTTGACAGTGGAGACCGGGAGACTGTTCAAGGAGTTCGAACTTATGGATGGATTAAGGAATCTCAACTTCATTGGCTTCGCAGTGTTTCACAGGGACTTCAGGTAGCACAAATCTAGCAATGCTTATGAAACAAATGAATGATTATGATCTTCGGTGCCCATTTACTTCATTCTCATTTAATGTGGTGTATTTCGAATTATTTATGTTCACGCTGTTGAAAAACATCTTTGGTATGTTTTCTGAATAATTGGAGAGTGACCTTTTCTTTCCTTGGCCGAAAAGAACTGGATAAAGAGAAAAATGGGCAACCTTGTTTCTTTTGTAATTTCTTCTTTTTCAATTATAATTAAAGTGATAACATACCTTTAGAATCCTGCTGTATCTTTCCAATGCCAAACACATTTAGCCATTAGAAATGATAACTTCCCTTTAAAATCATAATGAATCATTCCAAAACCAAATATTTTACCCATTATTGTCTTTTCTGGAACTCTATCATATGGATCTGTATTCAATTATTAGTCCTGACTGCCATTATTTGTCATGTTCTTACATTTCCCTCCAAGGAGGTTTATTAGATTTAGATCCAATAACATGCTGCAGGTGACATACTAACAGGGACAAAATCAGGAGTTCAATTACATAACAGAAAATCTGCCTGTAGCTACATCACCAGCACTGGCATTTTTCCATATTCCAATTCCGGAGGTCCGGCAGTTATACTACCAAAAGATTATAGGCCAGTTTCGGGAGGGTGTGGCTTGTTCATCAGTGAACTCAGGGGTCTTAAAGACTTTGGTCTCCATCAAAGATGTGAAGGCTGTGTTCTTAGGCCATGATCATGCGAATGACTTTTGTGGAAATTTAGAGGGAATATGGTTTTGTTATGGTGGAGGCTTTGGGTACCATGGCTATGGAAGGGCTGGCTTGCCAAGGAGAGCAAGGATCATCTTAGCAGAACTTAGGAAGGGCAATATGGCATGGATGGGAGTGGAGAGGATTAAGACATGGAAGCGTCTTGATGATGAGAATCTGAGCAAGATTGATGAGCAAGTCCTGTGGGAGTTTCAGCCATCTAGATGATTTTCTTTCCAAGTATCAAGGTACTTTGTAATCTGTATCTGAATCATGTTGTATATCCTCTGTGTTAGTTTTTTTTTTTTTTT